AGGAAGTTGCTTTGTAAATCCAAGTTGGACAAGTCATACCCACGTCTGACCGCCTCCTGTGTTTATCTCTTCTAATATACTTGTGGTAGCACATACCTTGGCCTAATTGAGAGGAGGTTACCCACTAGGATTTCAGGGCACATTCCACCAAACATGGTCGCCAACAGTCCAAAACTGCCAGTTAGTTCTATTGTGCAACAAGTTTTGGAAAGCACCACATGCTGACGCCGTCATGATTCGTTTAAAGGAATTAACCTAGAGAGTAATGCCCGGTTGATTCAGTTTGCTGAAGCTTCAGATATTCGACCGCTGAAGCCCGATTTGTGCAAACAGACTGAACTCACGGGTGGGTTCGACTTACCTTGGTGAGGTTATTGATGGTTTTTCATTGCTTCCTTTTGCACGCAAAGCAATGACATCACGAAAGTGTGCAAACAGCTGACGAGAACATTCGAAATACCTGAATACGGCGTGTCCTTTTAAAATGCTTTTCTTGCTATTTCGAAATTTGTGAAGGGAAAATTCTGCATGAGGTTAATGGAACCGTTTAACGAGCCAGAAGGAGCCCTCCGTCACGCGGGCACATCCACCTGAAGTCAACTTGCAAGGAAATTCAAATTCCCGTTTTACTCACATCCCCGTAAACTAAAGTGATCAGTCCCTTACGTATTTGGAACGTATTAATTTTCTAATGTGTTCCACGCAACGATACATTCATGCGCCATCCAGAATATCGCCTTATATTTGCTCTTCGAAATGTTTCCGTCGAATCCTACAAGACGCGAGACATGACAGCACTGTTACGAGGAATCGACACAAGCAATTTCGTAGTGGTAGGTGCTGACCTCGTTACCTAAGTTACCGGTAGATCTATGGTATAGCTCATCCTCCACTAACATGAATGTCAATGTCATGCAGGAGACAGCGCTGGCCCTAAACATATGCGTTTTCTCGCTAGGCCACTCTGTAGCCTATGACAAGACAAATTAGCTGGGGAGATTACTGATTGCTAGGAAATGGTAATTTGAATCCCTTCGGTCCAGTTTGTAGACTACGCTTTAATCCTGGGTTAGTCATTTAAGTTTGGATTTCTTATTGCATCCAGAGTGTTGCGTAACTGCCGCCAGACAGCAAAGTTTGATTCACGGAAGTTACAGTTGTTAGAAGTAAATAGCTTCCAGTACACTTGAGATCAGCCTTCAACACCTAAAGCGTGCATCAACGCCCAGTTTCTTAGGTGTCGTAGAATGAGTTGGGAGATCACCGAGGTCCATTTAATTTAATTTCGTTTACTAGCTACTTGATTGTAAGCAGAAACAATCGGAATAGTTTTGGTGGATGCTAGGTATTCATGTACTGCGCAGGCTCTTTCCTTGTTTGCTGACCAGAAGTAGGTATGCAAACTGTTTTGTCTTGTGACTGACGAGATAGACTGAATGCAAGTACACTTGAACTCATCAGTTGTCAGTAGGAGAGCATCTGGTTTACACGGCTAAATTAATGGAAGCCTTCAAATGAGTGTAGTTCACCTCATATCTGGAGCACAGGCTAGACTTTCTTAAAGGAGAACACGAACGGAGTGACCCAACTAAAGCGATTTACTGACTTTGGAGCATACTTCACTGCAGCTAGTTTTATGCGACTTCGTGCTCTTCATGCTTTAGGGGCATAAATCTAGTAAGCACCGTGGCCGGCGAAGAACAAACAAAGATGGCTTGCGTGCATGTAAACTTGAAAGTGATTTTTACTAGTCATGTTAGTCCAAGCTGCACTAAACAGACAGCGAAACGGTGTGCACAGCAAACGATGAGTGCGGGGTGTCAAAGTATCGTTCATGAGTTTGAACTGCGGCGCACAAGCTCATTTGGGATGTAGCTTCAGCGAAAAAAGTGATGGCCATTACTTGGGCCTACTGCGGAGGGTGTTTGACCGGTTTCATCCAACATTTTCGCAAATGCTCAACGCTTACGTGTGACCATACGTTGGACACGCCCTTCAAATGTGGCACCTTTGACAAAATCATGGCCTCATAGCTCTTGAACAGGCACAGCGGAGGGCGACAAATAATGTTAAGGGATTGCTGCTGCTCATTTACCAATTGATACTAAAGACTCTAGGAGTTTTCTATAGAATAATAAGGTATTCTGCGAGGTCACCGCAAAATTGTGCACCAGATCCTCACGGATTCTAACCACCCGTACCGATCTTTATGGACGTTCAGCCACAACACCTCACTGAGAGGACATAATTTGGAGTTGACCACACGGCATAGCTGGTTGGAATGCTGCCGGAAGTATTTCTCTTTTTGTGTATCTCAGCCATGGAACTTGTTTCCGCATTTTGTCATATACGCTGCTAAGTTGTCTGAATATACAACTAGACTTGACGATGCATTACACCACCTTGATTAGATGATTTAACCCAAGTTACTGGGACATGCAACGACGTAACCAAGCAATGTGTACACTTGAAGTTTTCGGTAAATCCACTGTTGCGCGTTCCTTTTATTTTTGTGCGTCAATTTTTGATCTCACTCTTTACCTACGGAAAATTACGAAACATTGCTTTTATATCCGTAAGAAATCCATGCTTTCCTTCTTCAACTGAAGCAGAGCTCCCTCAATCCGATGACTGGGGTCCAGTTTGTCTATTCATCGTCGGAACTTCACAGCACAAGGGCTATTAGCTCATGCGGAACCAAGACGGAAATATCAAACTCATATCGAAATCCTTATAACAGATAACATCTGACCTATCATAACAGTTTCATGGAAAATAAGTCCATATTGCTTGCTGTCTAATACTAATCCTTTATGGTTCAATTAATGGAGACATAACTGAAAGGGCTGGTACTTCAGTATACAATGAGCATACTACCGACCAAATCGGAATCACTTAAGTAAGCCGTATGGAGGAAGCGCAGTAATTGTCTTGCATCCAGTGGTGAAGTGGCTAGTGAATCCCTGAGTGGAGTTTTCCTATTCTGTTAACAGATAACACCAAGATCCATTTCGATCATATTTAAACAAAACAGAGACAGGCTTTTGCAGACAGAAGTGTCCGCAATTGCAGTTTATGCATAAAAGTTTTTAAGAGGACTGTGCGTAATTAACATGCACTGGACATGCATGCATGAGGGTTCAAGGACGGTTTTCGCAAGGTCAGTTTCAGGTTGTGAAACGGTAACTACTAGCTTTACAATTCCATGTATCATGGTCTGTCACGGAGATTGTGACTTCATTTGACGTATACAACAGAATCCGCTATCTCGAGCCTAACGGTGGGCGGCTACACTTAAAGCGGCCATACAGCGGTTAAGTTCTGAATCACCTAACAAGCTAATCATGAGTAAAATTTGAAAGAAGAATAACTGAGGCTGCCGCAATTGAAACCTGACAGAACGAAAGGTGTCTGATCAGGCAACTTTCGCTCTGAACTTAATCTTGGAGCTACAATGTAATGTAAATCCAGAAGTCAGTCGTAGGCTCTGAGCCAGGTTTGTTTCTTAATTCTGCAAGGGGACTAATGTATTTCTGCCTGGAAATAACGATAACGAAAATATATAACGATCTTTTTGCTTCATGAACACAGGGCACATGAGATCGAAGGTACTTCTGCACTCCAACTTCGTAGCATAGGAAGGGAAAGGTGTTCCGCCTATGTGCCAGACTATGCCAAACTAGTCAACAATGCATGGTGTCAGACCAATAGTGAGTATGGGGTGTTTTCTACTATCCGAAGTACACGGTAAACGCATAAAATACATCCTATGAGTGAACAACTTCGTTTTCTTCAACACAACCTTTATATAGCGGCTTGAGGCAATCGGCTGCGTTGACTATTCAACAATCAAACCACAACAGGTAAAATGGATTCTCCAACTATGTGCAAAGTTGGCCGCTGTGACACACCTATTGCACCTATCCTGAATACTCAGTTGGGTTGCTTTTACCTCAATACGACTTTTTCTACTGATGTGCACTGGCGTCAACTGCTGTCCCGTGCTTTCCAATTTCTACACGATCGATCTGAACCTAGCACCTTTGGTGGATAACGCACAGCGTCGTGGTAAGCCAACTGTTGTTCATTGTGTCCGCAGCTGGTGACCACCAACTTTTTCGGTGACCTGCAGTCAAGCCAAATCCACCGGTATTCTTGGAGGTTTATTTCGCCTGTGATCAACAAATCGCATCGGGTGGACCGAACTGAACTATCGACCACAACAAACCAAATAACCGCCGTGTTTATCAAATCTGACACGGCGCAGAACCCCGCGAATTTCGACGGACTGTAGATGTGCTGCTAACTAATATGGCATTCTGTTCTGAATTGTCAGCATGCATTTGTGTGTGCTGAGTCACATGGCTGTGGCATTTGACAGTAGCGACACAAATTTGAAGCGTAAAAAATCGGTGTTCATTTTCTCCCGCTAACTGCATGTCTCCCGTTGACAGCTACATGCTTCAACCAGCGTGGGAAAACTGGGGCTTGACTGCCAAGCATTTTATTTTGCCCTTACTCATTGTCGACTTGCTCTGATGTGTGCCATGTCAATCGACGAGAAAACTAGTACGGCTGAGTCCAGGAAATTTTGATTGCGCCTTAGGTTGGGGCAAGTCTAACACTACAGACAAGCGGTTTCCATTGTTCCGCCTTGACGTAGACCATTCATGAGGCTCTCTGATTGGTCCATGCTTGTCCAATGGCCGCACTAGGCCAATCCGAGTGACAGTACGCATCGTTGATGTCGTCCCGACGGCCAGGGCGTATAGGTGTGGTCCACAGGTGTCCTGGAGCATTGCGGGCCTTCTCTCTCGCCGGCACGGGCATCACGCCACATGATTCAGCTGGATTTACGATGGAGTTACCATAACTGATCGGACACTTTTCTCCACAATATTGGTATGCTACTCGATCCAGTACGCACCATAAGCGTTTTGTGTCTACTAGGGGTTCCTATCATCCGCAGCTCTAACCACTCACCAGGAAAGTTAGTTGTTATGCGACGCTCAAGAGACACCTACTGGAACGAGCAGTCGGGTTTGTATGTCCCACCCGACATGAATGTTGATAAGGTAGCTCGGTCGCCCGTCCTAATGGAATTACGCCGCGATCTGGTCCCAGCAAATGGCCCTGATGGACTCTACGGCATTTGCATTTTAATATTTCGCGTTCTGGATGACACTCACTTACCTCCGGCGGAAGAATGTCGAAGGTATCACAACTCCAGACAATCCGTCCTCGGTGACATAACCGAGTTTTACCATTCGGTGAGTTCGCTCTTGTTCGGTTTCTTGTTGCCAATTAGCGATTCTTACTCCCAGTCGAGTGCAGTGCAATAACGTAGATGTACACAACTTGCATGGACAAACTATTTCGTGGCACGCCTTGCCTAACATCAGTGATAGCCCCTATTTGATAAATACGCGTTATGTGGAAGCACCTTTTGCAACTTTAATGCGTGCCATGCAATTCATATTCAAAGAAATACTGCTTTATAGACATAACAGCTAATGTTCTCATTAATTTGCACCAATAATGAATAGGGGGTATCTCATTCCTTCATGCATAATGAGTGTCCTAGATTGCTTTAGTGAAATTTGCGCACTGCACCATTTGTCGCTCTGAGCCTGGTTACATGAAAACCGTATCAACTTGTCCTTCCCATAAACGTATTTCCTGAAATGCCAACCGGTTACTAACCACACCAACACAGAGCTGGGAGCAGTCAAGAGATTCCTCCGGTTTGCCTTAGTTCATTGTGTAAAATTTTGACCAAATTCATGTTTCATGGTACACTTAGGCCGAATGTCGAAATGCATGTTGAGTTCTACTGTTTGAATCGAGCAACGCCATTTTCTCGGCTCCTCGGCTGGTCTGCATTGAGTGACCCTATTCTTTACTGGCTTTCCGTTCACTTTTCCAGCAACACTCCTCTATGTCATTTTCTAAAGCTGGGACAATAGAGAATTCCAGACTGTACAAAATAAGAGATTCCCTCCATCCAGTTGCCTTCTGAAACCGCAAACTGGACTCCCAGTAATTTGGTGGTCGCGACCTGACATGAACACTTAACATTCTGATCAGAAGATTCCAAAAAGCAGGTGGACGAAGATAGCTCATATTTTGTACCTTAAAGAACTTCTTGTTATCCTAGCTACTACCTAGGGGAACAGAAAGACCAACAAAAGCTGTGGTCGCGCGATGCAGACCAGCCGAGGCGCGGAGAAAATGGCGCTGCTTACTTCGAACAATCGAACTCAGCATGCAGTTCGACATTCCTCATCAACCGTCTAAGTGTAAAATGAAATAGTACTTTTAGTTAGAATTTTGCATAACGAACTCATGCAAACCGGGGGAATATCTAGACTGCTACAAGCTTCAAAGTTTCCTAACTCGCATCATCTCGAGGCCACCATAGCCGAGGTAGGCCCAAATAATTTAACCAATCAATCGTTGGCCAACTGTCTCCCGCTCAGTTCAGTCAGACTTTAGTTTAGCATTTGAACCTGCGACTTGCTAGATATTTCGCCGATCGGTTAACAGTGACATCTGTATAGTAGGGTTCTGTTCTCATGTGCACATACATTTCGCTCTCGCATTTCCAGAGACGCTTCCAAAAGAGACCAAACAACCGAAATATTGAATGTTATTTTGAATTTAAGGATTCTGCGCATTACGCAACACAGCTAAAGGAAGTTGAGGTTCCCTCCCATCGGTGTCATTCGACTGTCAGTTCGCAATTGAGATGGGTTCAAACGAATATAACCTCGATCTTTGTCCCACACTCTGGCTTTGAGGTTAGGTTAGGAACGGGGCAACTGGCAGCAGTTCGCCGCATCCCAAATAGTTGTCCCCACGTTACACGATCAGTCGTGTTCAGCGATATGTTGAGTGCACTAGGGTAATTCGTGCCAACTTGCTACCCACCTGAAAGATTCGAATGTCACCACATTGACCTAAGTTTGGGCACCCATACAACCCCGTCAATACCGAACCCATGCATTCCAAAAAGCTTCGACTTCATTCTCCTCTGTGAATCATCGGATTCAAAGACGTGCCAAGTATACTATGGCGCGGTCGCATTTCACTGACAATTAGGTGTCGCAGTCCCACGGGCATTAACCCCGGACATTTGTGTTGATTTGAATGCATGTTCTTGGTCTTCTCAGTCGCAGCGGCTCCATCGCAACTTTCAGGTTAGCAATACCGTTAGTCAGGTGTCTCGGTCAATATCAGTATAGATCATGATCAGGCTAAACGAGTAAGTTCAATCCACACGATAAGGTGGTTAGGATGTAGCACTCAGTAGAATGTATCGTTTACGTAGGTTTCTATGGAAATTTGGTAATGGCACAGGTAAACATATCCAGTATCAACTTTGCTTTATGGAATGGGACGAAACTTTTAGTTCACAACTTGTTGTCAAGCCGTGATAATTGAAAAGTATACAGCATAACAGAGCTGTTTTTAGCTACCTCAATTTGAACGTATTTTTTTCGATTTGTGTAACTTACACAGGTTGACGAGGTCTTTCTCCAAGACACTGAACATGCAATGGGAGATTAGACACGATTGATAATCACACAGTAACGCGTTATCTGCCCCAGGAATATCCTTTCGCATGATGCCTTTTTCTCGCCCCCTGGACGCAGGGTTGGTAGTTAGTTTTATGACAGTCATGGTGATATTATCACGTGGAATTACTTTATTATAATCATTCCCTTCCTTCGGTTGTGGTGGAGCTGGTGTTTGCCCGTCAGCCATCCATCTGCTCGAGCCCCTTTGGAAGTGAAGAGTACTGTTATTCGGTCTTTCTGCTATAGAAGCTGGGACAACTTCCCAGTTTGGAATGTTCTGAATCTCCCAGAGTTCCTTTGTCCCTGTCCATGCTCGGTTCGTCATTGTTTATTCTTCCGCGACCCATGAAAACGAAAACTGTGCACCTATATTTGCTTCAGATGTTAGGAGTCGCATTTTAGACACCGTTCTTTCCAAGACGCTGGCTGTCTCCACTGTTTACAACAATTCGTGTACCCAGTGATGTATATCATATTTCCCTTGCTGTCTTGCTATCATGCTACCGACGATGTCAATGCCATACTTCATTTTCCTGCGACAGTACTGCACGCGGCTAATTCGATCTCCACCGAATCTTCGGCATATGTGCGGGAGACGGTGTCTAGGCACACGCGAACACCATAAATCGCAGCGCTTCTTACTTAGGAACGCATGCACGTATAACTGCATACACCTAGGTTTACTCATTGTCACGTTGCATACTCGCACGCGCACACACATGTGCATCAACGGGCCCGTAGCCGTCGTCCGCTTCGGAACATTAGTCAACTAGTTAAGTAGTTTGTCCCACGGTTTGAACTTGGATTTTCCATACTGTAAACAAACATTTACACGGAGGCTGCCACCTCAGCCACAAGCCGAGGCACACACAACAATTTGCATTCACAGGTCTGGAACGGTGTACACCTCATTTATATTTTCCAACATTGAGCCGTTCCATCGTTAACTTGCAGGCAACTGATCACCAGAAGACTTGTCGAGTGTACACACAGACCATAATCTGATTTCCCAAAGTTAAAGTGGGCTGTGCCTTGGAGCTGAAGTTGATGCTCAGCTGCGAGCCTCACCAGTAGTGCTAGTCTAGCGCGTATTAATGACAGCTTATGAAACCATAAGTTGGGTCGCTTGGGTCTCAAACGCATAGGAATGTTCAAATGGAACATCTTTGTGGCAGTCAAGGATTGCATGCTGCGCGCCCCATCCGATTTTGGGTTACTTTGCAGTGTCATGCATGACGCAACTTAGCTGCACTCGCACTTCAACCGCAAGAGGGAGAGAAGTATAATTGCCACGTCAGTTTCTCTTCGCGGTGTTCACCGATCCCCCCCCCCCAATAAACGCTATCGACGGTCATTTGACGAACCAGACAAGCATTCTGTTTCTATTCTGTCAGCTGGACATGTGGTGCAACTGCTGATGCTCACTTGTTCTACGCCAAAACTTGTCACATATCCACCTGTTTGAGTAGCTGGTTATGTATACTCTCCCTGAGAAGACGGGAAATGCAGGTGGTGGGCAGTCCAGCGCGTACACAGACGTGGACAACATCTGGATCTCGGAAATCGCTTGCGTTGACCAGCTCACTCGCTGAAGCTACGAGACATTAGGATCGCTGCGTGTGTGTGTGTGTGTGAGTAGGTGCTGTACGTTAGTGCTCACTTGAATGCGCCTACATACATGCGTGATCGATGCTGCGGTACCGCGTGCGGTAATCTGGTCGGTTGAACGAAAACAACGTATCGTCATGCTCTGAGTAGTAGTCACAACTCGTAGGCTCCAGTTGTCAACTGAAGTATTAAGTTGTCTGCCACCGTAAACGTCATCAACTTCATTGCCCTGATCTCCTATGTCCAGTGCTCCCACGAGTGAGAGCACAAAATGTGTATACAACTTACTGGTCGGATACGCACGCTGCCATTGCTAGAATACATTAGTGGACATCTGGCTGGCCAGTTGGTTATAGGTTATTCCTGCTGTGTAGCGAGCCGTTCGATGTAGAAGCTCGGTCTTAACCCTAACTGCGATCTGATAATGAGCTCGAGCTGGAGGCATGCCAATTTAGTCCCTTTTCTTTACGACCCCACTTTCAAACTACGGCTGTTGATGCCATCAAAGGATAAAAATCACTGCGTCTTGAACACCTCAGCGCCACTAGTAGGCGCCATCATTTACGAACGGAAATGTCGTCTGACCCTAATTCCACTCCTAAACTGTTCCTGTTCAGCTCATCTTTCGTGTACAGATACACCTGTATACGTTTTATTCAATGGGTTATGGCGTCAGTCTTTAAAAAATTGCCTCCCAACCACCCAAAAATCAATCGGTAAGCAAAAATGGTTGATTTTTACTGTCTGACGGACTCCGTCTCACTTTCCTACCTTCTGCTGCTGTGAGAAATTGATCGTGTACGTTGATTGATCCCACCTGGTGCGAGATTGTGCACTGGGACGTAGCCCGTTACATGCGCAGTCCCAGCCGTAATTGTTGTTTGTTTACCTTAATTCCCTCACCCCCTCGGGTTGGGAGTTCGGCACGCTCTTGTGCGCAGATTTCTTTATTTTCAATCGATCAAGCAGAGAGTCGGAGAGAACTGGACTTTTTGAAACTACTTTTCCGCTGCTACATCAGTTGCAAGTTTGCCCTATAAAGCTGCCAGAGTCAAGCGGGATCATTCTGATGCCCACGGGAC